TTACTCCCTGTGCCCGCAGACCTCATCCATCAGTTCGATCACCGAGAGTACAATGTCGCTGAACATCATAACAGTGACCCTCAACTTGGATACCGTCAACTTCCTCGGCATATCCATCGTAGGCCAGAGCAATAAGGGAGGGGACGGCGGCATATACGTGGGCTCCATCATGAAGGGCGGCGCTGTGGCACTGGACGGCCGCATAGAGCCCGGAGATATGATACTACAGGTAAACGACGTGAACTTCGAGGACATGTCCAACGACGACGCCGTGCGTGTGCTCCGGGAGGCCGTCCAGAAGCCGGGACCCATTAAGCTGGTGGTGGCCAAGTGCTGGGACCCCAATCCCAAGGGCTACTTCACGATACCGCGCACCGAACCGGTCAGGCCTATAGATCCCGGCGCGTGGGTCGCCCACACAGAGGCTGCCCGAGCCAACCAGTTCAGTGGTAATCAATCACTAGTTTTGTTACTTTATGTTGAGTTCAATATTTTGTTTGACATTTATTTATGTGCTTTTCGCTGCAGAACAAGACTATCCTCTGAGACCACCCTCTGTGTCCACGCTTACCTCCACCTCATCATCAATCACGACATCCATACCCGAAACGGAACGACAGTTAATCCTAGACTCGGCGCACCTGTCGGTTGAGATGGATATGATGACAATCGCCAAATCGATGGCCAATCCCGACTCAGGGCTCGAAGTGAAAGACCGAATGTGGCTTAAGATATCGATCCCCAACGCCTTCATCGGCTCGGAAGTGGTCGACTGGTTGTACCGCAACGTACAGGGCTTTCAGGACCGCCGGGAGGCCCGTAAATACGCCAATCAGATGCTAAAACAGGGACTCATTAAGCATACCGTGAATAAGAGCTCCTTTTCGGAGCAGTGCTACTATGTGTTCAATGACTCGCTATTAGAGCGAGACTTCGCCGCACTTAAGGTCAACGACGACGACCTCCCGCCCTCTTACATGTCTGCCGGCGCTCTCATACCTCAATACACCGGCAACTATGCGCCCGCTTTCATGCATCCGTGGGGTTCGGGCGGTGAGATCCACAACTACGGCATGTTTGGCGCCCAACCATTCAATAATGGGAACGGAGGAAGCATTCACAGCAATTCAAGTATGGATTGGTTTTTTGGGTTTTGATTTTTGTTATTAATTTTTGTGTTTATGTGGTGTAGTGTCGAGTGGCAATGGTATCGACGGTAATGGCATTCATAGGCGCAACGATGTGGCGCTGATAGGCGAGCGCCAGAGTGCGAGTCCCGGTGCCAGCAGTGACTTCGACGACATGAGCCAACGAAGTGGTCCCATACTAATCAATTCACTGCAACAAAAACAGATGCAATCCTTTTCCAATCCGTTGCAACAGCACCCGACCCCACGACAGCATATGAACGGCGAGCTCATGCATAATAACCACAACTCACACCTCCTGATGGGCGGTGTGGGCCCGGATGGACCCAGCGATCAGTCGTGCGCCGACTCCACACATTCGGGCACTACTACCACCACCACTAGGGATACGGAAAAGCAAATGGACGGCCAGTCGTCCGATATAAATGGTAGTCGACAGTCGTTTCGTATGGCAATGGGAAATCCATGTGAATTCTTTGTTGATGTCATGTAATGTCTGTCCCCTATCGGTCCCCTCTCTCACCTACCAGTGCCCTATATATCAATTTAATGCTCGAACCCATTGACAGTAATAGGATTTTCAATTGACATGTTTTTTACTTTGACTTAAAATTTTAAAACCAATTTAATAGTCAACGTTAGGAACGGAATGTTTGTTTTGAGGTTTTTAATCAGTGGTTGGGTTTCTATTTGAAAGAAAATATATATTTATTTT